ACCTTGTAAAAATAAATAGGAGATTCTGCAAGATCAGATTCTATTGAGTCAATGATTGTTATAACCAGTTGGATCACTTAACATATCATTGCAAGGTTCCTTGAGAGACTGAGTGAAGGTTTGATCTCAAGAAGATAATGGCTGCACTCATTATGGGAAATCCTGATAGGAGATTGTGAAGAATGAGATTCTCTTGGGTCAATGAACTTTATATCTAGTTTGGATCCCTGAATGTGTCATTGGATGTTAGTCACCGGCGGTTTCCTGTGCAGATTGTAATCAGTTTGGTTATAATGGATTAAGTCTTTGAGTTCAAGGTGAAATCACCTTGGTGGGGTGGACTGGACTAGCTTGAGGGTTTCTCAAGTGAACCAGGATATATCACGTTGTAATGCCCCAAATTTGTCCTACCCTTCACTTTTATCTGGCTTATGCGTTTCACACTTTTCACATGTACATAACCTTCATTAGGTCAATTAACTCCTCATGCATCATTCATCAACAAATTTTGCATAAGATCAATGTTTATGGACGAGATTAGGGTATTGGTAATTGATTAAGGTGTATATGGTCAACAAAGCTTGATTCTTCTTGTTATTCTTCAAGAAAGTGAAATTGTGGAATTAGGGTTTTATGTTCATAGATGTTGTGGAGTTCTTTCTTATCAAGCTATTCGAGTTCTCCTTCAAAGGGTTGTGACTTGCTAATACATAACTTTTCACCAAAACCTCAAATAAAGACTTTGTAAGTTAGGGTTTTGGAAGACTTGGCAAGCTAGGGTTTGGACCCTCTCATCATCTCAAATGCATCTCGAGAGGATCAGGGTTTTATACCTGTTGCTTGCGCTTGTTAATTCTATTAAGGTTCATCAGAGGTGTTCCCTCCTACTCCAAGTATCCTTTTCAGTTTCAAAGGCTCTTCAATGTATTTTGTCGTGTTGAAGTGAAATACAAGTGCAAGTAATGGTAGGGGAGGTGAACTCGTCGACTCATTCAAATTAACGCAATTATGGTTCTCATCATTGTTACTGGTTGTTGGAAATATAAGTTGGTTTGGAATTAAGATTGAATTGGAGTAATTGGTCTAGATTTACTGATTGGTGAATGTTCATTCAAGTTGCCTAATGTGTTTAGGTAAATAAAGTTTGCTCACATAGTTGAAGAGCTTGTGGATGAGGTTTTCTTAAGGAGTATTCTAGTTCCATTCATCATCGTTCAATCTTATTTCGCATAGCCAAAGGTTCTTTCAAAAAGTAAGACATAGTAATTCGTGTATGGGTGCAAATTCAAAGGAGATTGTGAATTCTAGTTCTAAACTGAGAAAGGAAAATCATATTGAATCTTTTGAAAGAAATATCATGTGAGTTAAAAGACTCATGAGGCATATTTTTAGATCAAGGTATTGGGACTTCAAATATCCAATACATCATCATGTAAAACCAAAAGGGAAAGATACATATCCAGATTTGTCAATTGAGGGAAAAGCCCATTGCAATTTCAAGATATTACAAAATATCATTTCACGTTCCAAGTTCCGATCATAAGCCTATTCACGTATTGGAAATAATCGAAAACCATTATAAAATTATACCATTACACCAATGATCCACAAAAGAAACCGTTACAAATCTATGTTACATCATTTACAAAGAAACAAATTGCAAGAAAAAGTTAATTCTAAGTTCCACCCCTTCTTCATGCTTCAAGACCTTTTGTAATGCGTCCTCTTCAAAGTGGCTTGACAAATAAACCTTAGCCATGCACATTTCAGAAAAGTCAGAATTAAACCAATTGTCCAACATACCTAACTAACTTCCCTCTTAACTGTCAATACAGAAATGACAAAACAGAATTTTAACAAACTCCAAACCTCTTCATAACTGACTTTTCTAACCCTTAACCAACTTCCAAAACTGATAAAAAACAGATCCGAACCTGTAGAATTTCCAACCTACCTCATAACATTTTAGTCGACCCAATAACTGCCAGTTTTGCAGAATAATATTTAAAAACCTCTTAACCAAAACTAACAGTCTTTCAACTGAATTCACAACAGAATCATATAAATATTTTTAACAGGAAAAATTCCTAGCCTGATACCTCTTTCCCAACTGTCATAACAAACTATGACATCCATAACCTCCAAACAGTTTCTAAACACTACAAGAAAAATGATAGATTGGGACGGTTATTTTGGCTGATTACGACGGTTAAAACCGTCGCAATTTACAATCTACGACGGTAGAAGTACCGTCGCAGAATCGTGCGTCCCCAGCCTATTTCGCGACGGTTGCAAAAACTGTCACGCACAACAGATAGCGACGGTTATATACCGTCGTGAATTTGACTTTATTTTTTGTTTTTGTTGTTGTTTGCGACGGTTACTCTACCGTCGTAGGTTAGAAATTGCGGCGGTTTTAACCGTCGTAATCTGATTTATAAATTTCAAATAATATTTTTATTTAAATTATTATTTAGTAAAATAATTTTAAATATAATATTATTTTACTATAATATTTTACTATTATATTTAAATTATTATTTACTTTAATATTTTTTTATTTATAGTATTTTTATTTTATTTTCTATCACTTTTCAACATAATAAAGTTAATTACAATAAAAACATTTAATATCAAATAATCATCAATAATATCAAAAAAATGTGATCAAAGGTAAAAAGAAGTGCAAATTTTACCAATAAACAAGAAAAATTCAAATATCATCAAAGGCCAAATTTCATTTTAATATTTACATTGGTTTGCTACAACTTGAGAGAATTACAAAAAATGTTACAATATTCTACAAAATTACATAGATTCAGTCAATCACATAGATTCAAGTCAATTTAAATATCCACTTCACAAACCTAATCCCTCACATAACAATTTCTAACAACTTTAAGCTAACAGTTATCCATTTCAATTGATATTCCTAACAGTCAGGCCCTAATAATATTGACGATTTTAACTCTTTTTCACACTAACAATTAGCTAACTCAAATTACAATCAGCAACTAACTCTCAGTTTCATTCAAATCTAAAGCCATCCCATCCTAATAGCCAACTATACACAACCTCTCTACAATATTCTACACAGCTTCGTCAACCTTCATCATCAATGGCATCATCGCGACTTCAAGCTTGAAGCATTCCCTCTATTTCAACACCAATCACAACAACAAACTTCAATAATTGAATTGTACCGAATCAATAGAAAATACGTGTGAATCGGAAATAATAGAAGAATGAGGAATTAAGAATGCATACCTGAATCACGATTGAAGCGTTGGCGGAGTGACTCCGACGTGTAAGTATTCTTTCTTCTCTCATCATTTTTGTGATGAAATCCACTAATCAAATTAACCTCATTGAAGAAATGATCCACCCATTGCGTCGAGTTAAAACTAAGCCTTTTAACAGCCACAGTATTACCATCTGGCATAACTCCCTAAAATGAAAGGAAAAATCTATAAGCACTTAACAACAATAAGGTTGTAAGAAGTTACAATAAGATAAGATCAGAATATACTTTATAAACTGAACCTGATCCTCCTTGTCCTAGCTTATTGTCATCATTGAAGTAATTTGTTGCTTTTTCAAGAATTTCATATGGAACATTTAGCTTGGATTTATTCACTGTATCCAAAAGTGTCCCAAATTGTTTTCTCTCTAGTAAAAAAACACACACACATAGCAATAACTTTTAGCACAAGTATTTTGGAAAAAAGTAATTCCAGTCTTTAAATATTAAACATGTGTACCTCTTCTTTTCCTCATTACATTCTTTCTTATAAAGAAACCCATTGTTGCAGTAACCAAAAGAAGAGCCAAGACAGCAGAAGATGCAGCCAATATTATAGCCATTTTTCGGTGTCCTAAAACACAGTTTCAAGCTTCAATCATGTTCTTATCATAATACTGACCATGGTTATAAATTGCGGTCCGCAACGCAATTGCGGCTGTAATATTGCTAATGCAGTAGCTTCCACAACCGTATTGGACTGCAATTGCAGTGTGATTTAAAACCACGCGTCCGACTATATTATGAACCGCATCTAACAATGTCGCTCAAGTTTTATCACAAAATGTCGCATCTTCACTTTCTTCTTTTTTCTTCTTTTTATCTTTACCCTCTTCCGCCTAAATGTGAAGAATCGTCAACATAGAATTTCACTAGATAAAATGTAGGTAAGCCAACAATGTAAATCAAACAAGAAAATATTTCCTGCTAAAACTAATGAGTTAACCCTGCCTTGTTAACAAGAAAAAATAAAGGAAAGAATTGTAGGCATAGGTTCTCTACCAGGAACTTTTTCTCTAGTTCTTCAAAGAATGCCAGTTTTTTCGCATCTGCCACACAAATATCTTAATCAGTATAAAGTAAAAATAACAAGGCTTCATCATTATTATGAGTAAAACAGAGATTCATATCATAACTAGACTAACATTTACAGATAATTAATAGATTGATAAAATAAAAAGAAAAAGTTCATAAGAAATCACCAGCTTCAGGGTTCCATCGAAACTTTTTCCGGCTCAGCATCTGCTTAGATTTACCTGAAATCAACTTTCGGACTAAATTACTTGTTACCAGGAACCGCAAATGCATAACGAAAAGTAGAAGCATTTTTCTACAATAAAATAAAAACACAACCACTGCCTTAAAAGCCTATCCCATTATTCACACCTGGAACCAACTCCTTAACAAATTCGTCGTAATATAAAACCTGAGACAGCGAATCACGAGTGAACGCGATCTTCTTCTTGTCAGAAAATCTTTCTACGTGCATCCTTTTGCGCCCTGACAATGAAACAATATGTATTGGAAATCTCAGATTTTGTAATGACAATCTGCCAATATGTATCATGTAAAGGCAATTGAATTCGAACCTTTTGATTCGGTGTCGTCCAAGAGATTCGGTGCAGTGGTAGAAAGAAAGCTTACTACTACATGCTGAAATGAGGTTGAGGTTGTGAACATTGATTGTGAAGGGACTTAGTCAGGTTTCAACATGAACACGGGTTCTGATAGGCTTTAGCTTAATTCCTAAACTTTCTTGAGAGAGGAGTTCTGGTGACATGATTGAATGATTAGAGGGGCTTGCTGGACTTGAACCGTTGCTTGATGAGGAAGCAAAATGTGGTTGTCTGTGGAAGCCAAAACCCATTAAGAAACACTCAATTGGTACTATCATGGAGTTTGGGTGTTCTTCTGTTACTAGTGAGCCACAAGCCTCAACCTGATCAAGTGAGGTTTGTAAAGCAATTGTGTTATGTTTATGTGTTATTTGAGTATCTTATGTAATTTCATATTTAATGGACATGGATTACGACGGTACCTCAACAAGTGCACAGATTTTGCTGTCCATTTTTGTACTCATGTGAATAGACTCGGCATGGAATGGACTACTCTCTCCTGCAAATATAAGTGTCTTGCATTGCAAGTTCTTTAGTCCCTCACTGAGGTCGCGCCTTCTGCAAGTATTTCAACATTTTGGTAATGAATCATGGGAACAAATGATCATAAGTAAGTTGCTAAAGTTTTAAATTTTCCACATTTTATTGGCATCATCCCTTTGTCATCTTTGTATATTTTATGTCATTTTAGTCCACTCCCAAAATCAAACAAGTTCATAATCCACAAGCTAGAATTTGGTCCACTCATACAATAATAAGAGTCAACTGTGTGCAATAATAACTATTATAAGAGGCATTCTAAGTATAGAAAAGAATTTTCAAACAAGACAGAAAACGTTAACATCAAATATCTTGAGAATATTTAAGTTGTTATCAATAATTAACCATGAGAACAATTGATAATTAAGTTCCTTAAGTTTTAAATCTTCATTGCCATTATCCAAGTTGCATTATCTCTGTTTGTTGTCTTTTTACATTTCATGCCATATTAGTCCGCCCAAAATCCATATCAAGTCCATAGCCACAAGTTAGAATTTGGTTTCACTTATAAAATAATGCGCTTATAAGTGTAGAAAGAATTTGCAACACAAATGCCGCAATTAGACAACTAGGGGCAGGACAAAAATGTCCAACTAGTCAACTAGAGGTTGGAATGAAGGCAAGCCAAATGTCGCAATTAGACTAGGGCGAACCACAATAAAGGTGGAATATCCAAAACACCCCCTCGTGCTTGGGTCTCGATGAGAGGCTGAAACACGAATGATGCAGAAAGCCCAACAACATATCCAAAACATCTTATGAAATATGGTTGGACTTAACTCAATCTTACAAAATCGGCTTGTACGGCGAGGGTTGTCCCAACATATGTGATATCTCTAAGTAATATGAGACTAAATTCACCCCTTAAAAGCCGACACAATGTAGGTGTTGGAGGGTGCAATGAAAGCAACACACATGCCACAATTAGGTGACTTGGGGCGGACAGCAAAGAAGGCGGAATTTCCAACAGTATGAATGTTGACATTGAATTCTCGAGAATATTGAGGTTACCATCAATAAAAACAGGATTGAGACAGTTACACTGTTGTATGAAATGGCTTAGATAGATTAAAAATTTGGAGGGAGGAGTGAAGTTTGTAAAAAACATCATTACTTACGCATTAACTGCTTGAAGAAAACGCATGACATTTAAACTTTGCCTTTCATCCAGAAGCTGCAATTATAGAACAGAAAAGAGAATCTTCAAATCAGAATTGTACACATACAAAATTATCCTAATTGCCAAGTTAATTAGGCATTTTCTGAGGAAAAAATAGAGTTTTACATACTCTTCGGCAAGTTAGTATTACTTCTGATTCTGATCCCTCAATACTGCATCTAAGCTCCTATAAAAGATGTAGAGAAGTAATGTCACCTCCAGAAATGATTCTACCTGCATAGTACCTGATAAAGAATGAGAAGAATACCTTACTGAAGTAACGTTGCAGGAGGCATTCCTTCAGTAAACCGCACATACCATAGAAGTACAATAAGTTCATCAAGACCTACATATATGTAGAAAACCTGTAAACATTCTATTTCAAGGGATCATTTTACAAGTTTTATATTGTTTTGTTGTATGCTAAAGGCGTTTAGAATCACAGTTAGATGGCTTTTAAAGTGCGGTCAACTAAACAGCTGCAGCTTCGAAGTCAACTCACAATGTTACTGTGGAAACAATGATTTTCAAACACACACGATAAATAGTTTGGCACATTACTACTTTCCTTGATATAGTTGTTGGAATTTCAATTTCAAAAGATAACTTATGATAAAAGCATGAAGGCTGAGAGGAAACCTTGTTGTAAATCCATTCAGTCCATGAAGGTCCTTTACAAATCGGTGAAACAAGAATCAATCCAAGCACTCGTTCTTTGTATTTCATCTGCCAAGTGATGAAAAAATTAACACGATGGTTTACTATATTAGATTGTTGAACATGAAACTCATAAAACTATAACTCAGCTCAGAGTTACTAACTTACAGCAAATAGTGTGAGGATGTAAGCACCGGCTGTTACACCCATGCACATAACCTCTCTTAGCCTGATTCATGACAGTTTCGTATGAAAGTTAAAATCATAATCCAAATAAGTCTATCTTAAGGCCAGTTTCATTAGTGAATATTTACTCAGTTCCCTTAGTTCAATATAGAATCGGTGAATAGCGAATGTTATGCTTACCCGAAAAAATCAAGCACTTCTGCAACCTGATCAGCTAGGTCATCCACACAAAGCAAAGGTTCATCCGAAGAAATCACATCAGCTCCCAACTGCAATATCTCTTAAACAAATGAGAAAAAATTGATGTGAATTCAATGAAATTGAAGCTAGCATGTACAATAACACTAGAAAGAATCCGTATACTAACCTCATGCCCTGGAGCATCAATGTGATAAATACAGAAGTTACGAAGCATCAAAGAAGCTGCTTCTGGACAAAACAACAGACCCTGAAAACAAGACACATCTGCAAAAAAACACTCCATGATTTCAAAAACCATATCCATAGTGATTCCAAACACATAAACAAAGCACCAAACATCTAAAACTAACAATCTGGTGTTGAAATTCCCTCATACACATCAAAATCAAACCAAAATGAGCAACAAGTACAAAATCATACAATTGAGAGCCACATCTGGGTAAGTTATTAGAGCAGGTTTATCTCGATCCCCACAAAGTGAAATATCAAAGATGGAGAGGAAGATGATGAAGAGAATGGCAGAGAATGGCATCAGGTTTAAAACCCCTGTCAACCATGCGCTTAAGAAAGCGGAGAGCTCGATTGTACTTAGCTGATTTGAATGACCTAATGAGAGCTTCATCGTAATCTTGATCAAGTTTTGGCCTTGTTTCATTGACCCTGATTCTTGTTCTTCGGTTGTTGGTGTTGCCCGGGGTTGAGGAAGTGACGATAGTGTTGGGATTTGAACGGCGAGAAGTGCGGTTTGGGTGGTTTCTGAAATTGAGAGTGTGTGATAAGAATTCAGTTGAAAAGGTTGTCATTGATGATGATGATGATGTTATCGGTTGTTGTTGGAAGATTTATGGCTTGAGTTTGGACAAAATTCAGTATCATAGAATGGATAAGGGATGATACATATTTTATCCTAACCAAATATTATCCTAAAAAATCATTAAAAAAAATAAAACCCTAAAACAACAAATTAGAAAACCTAACATCAATTCAATATATTCAAACTCAAATGAAAGGTTTAAGGGTGCGACGGTTGTTTTACCGTCGTGAAATGAATTTTAGGACGGATAATTTTACCGTCGTGAAAGGTTTAAGGGTGCGACGGATGCTTTACCGTCGTGATATGCCTTTTAGGACGGTTAATTTTACCGTCGTGACTAGTTGTTGGTGAAAAATCAATGTTAAAAGTGTTAAATGGGGGCCGACGGTTGTTTTACCGTCGTAATAATAATATTATGATGGTTAAATATACCGTCGCAAAATAAATATTAGGGACGGTTGGTGTCAACTGTCGTAAACACTGTCTCTATATGTCAATTACGACAGTTATCACATAACTGTCGCAATTTTTGTGTCGTTAAACACTAATTTTCTTGTAGTGAAACATAACTCTAACAACCATAACTAACTGAAAACAATTTTGAACTCCCTAACCACCTAACATATTTCTAACCAATCTCATAACTGATTCAACCAACTGCCAAAACTGAAAAACTGTCACTAACAGAGCCAACAAAACTTCTGGCAAAACAGAGATATAACAAAATACAAAAAAACAGAAAGGGGAGGAGGAAGTTCCAGATTCAGGATATAACAAATATTAAGAGAAGAATATCGAGGACTCACGGTTCATTCTACATAAACTCCCTCTGAAATTCTCTAAAGATTCTTGGCTTTCACTCTCAATTCTTTGAGTTGATTCTTCATCCTCAATCTTCTGAATTGTCTTCACCCTTCAATCACCAACATCAATTCTCGTAACATCATCTTCATCTTCACACACTCAATCTTCATCGTCATCACCTTGACATCTTCATCACTAATCTGCAGCAACAATTTCGTCTTTCCTCATTCAAATCCTTTGCATCAACCTTATATTCAATCAACAATATCGCACAAGCACAGAAACGCAAAAGAGGAGAGTGGAATGACATTAGAAGAGATATTAGCTTACTTCACCTACTTCTTGAAGATTCTCTAGACTCTTGCTTCCATGAGCAGCCATCACGAAACGCCGTCGAAGCGACTCCGACTGGATTCATCAACGATTCTGAAATTCTGGCTGCAGATACTCAATGTCACGTTCAATGTTATGACACCGTATCTGACTTTCTATAAGACAGTAAATACAAAAACAGTAAAAAAACACAGTCAATTATTTACCCAATTCAGTGTGCAACAACACCTACTCTGGGGGCTACCAAGCCAGGGAGGAAATCCACTATAAGAGATATTAATTCAGGAATAAACCAACCAGTTTATCTCCTTCACTTAAGACCTACCCAATGCAACTTCAATCTAAGTATAACTTAAACCTGAGTTCCTACTCACTCCCCCTCAATCACAGCAGTGATACATAAAACAATTTGACTAATGGATTGATGAAGACACTCTTCAAAACATACACTTGATTATGCTTCACAGCTTTTTAATCAAGCAACACAAACACTCTTGCTTCACAGCTTTGAGTGATACACAAGCCTAACTTGACTTTGCTTCAAAGCTTTAGTCAAGAGACATACAAACACTCTTGCTTCAAAGCTTTGAGTGATACACAACCCTTACAATTAAAACCTATTTCAAGTCACTTATCACAATGATAATTGCTTGGATTACAATAGTTAAAACTATACAGCTTCTAAATGATCTTCTGTCAAAAAGGGATGCCTTCCAAAACAGCAGCTATGTTGAATATATAGCAGCTGCATCTTCAGTTAGGGTTTCCACAAAAAGCTAGGGTTAATTCCGTTTTACCTTAAGACTAGGTAACAGGACTTTATCAACCAGGTTAGGGTTGAGCTAGGTTAACCCTAAGTCCACGAGATTTTTTGTTCTGGAAAGACTGAGTCATAATCCTGAAAAAACTCAGAATTACCCAAACTGCATAACTGTTAGTTCAGAACAGGATGTCTTAACATTTGTTATGACATCTGAAAACCTGTCTACTGATTTAGCTAAATGTGATCTTTTTGCAAAATGCTCAGATACACACTTATAAACAGCAGCACCTGTATGTCAATATTTTTCCGCAAAGGTACCTAATGAATCAGTACATACTAAACTAGAATGTTATGACATCAGTCATGACATTCACACACACACACCTGGTTTTACCAAAAATGCAAGCCAATAACTAAACAACTACAAACTCCCCCTTTGGCAGATTTTTGGCTAAAGACCCTAAGCAATCAGAGATAGATAGCAGCAGAATAAATATGACTGCAGAAAAATAGAATGACAAATTAAGTCTACCAAAATATATCTCCCCATCTTTAGCCACAAATGGGCCAAAGATACATGTTCTTAAAAGTTATACAGTCATCCAGAAAAAATAATAAGAGCAGTAACTAAAAACTGAACACACTTCCAAACTCTACCAGGGACCAGCATCAACTCCACCAATCAGCAACTCCACCAACCTTTAAGCACTGTCATCAGACTCAGAGGAGCTAGTATGATCTTCAGCTTCTACACCCTCTTCCCTTCTGTTTCCTTCAACTTCCTCCTTTTCTAACCTGGCAATTAGGTTTTCTAGGGTCTTTTTCCTAGCTTCCAGTTCTTTGCAGGTCTCTTTTAATACATCTATAACATCAGATGTTTTGGACTGAGTCTTCACAGAAGATGTCTCAGCTGATGTTATGACAATATCAGGAGCATGAGATCCCTGAAACAGCTTGTAGTGCAACCCAAGGGCAGGAGCTCTTTTGCAAGCAGTATCTCTTGCCACCAGGATATCAGGGTATTGTGCAAGGATAATTCCACAAAGGAGGGAGGGAAAGGCAATTGGGCCTTTGACAGCATAACTACCAGCATGTTTTAAAGTTTGTTCAAAAATATACCTGCCATAGTCAAAAGCAGTCTTGGTTCCCATAGCATAAATAAATCTCCCCAATCCTGTGGAGATAGTTGATTTATGGTTTGTAGGGACCCAGTTGGCTGCACCAATCTTGTGTAGGATGGAAAATTTCATGCTAAGTTTGCTGGCATTCAGCTTGCCTTTCAAGGGCCAGCACTTCACTTGCCTTGCTGTGATGGTTTGACAAACTTCATTGTCAGCGACTTCCAGTTCAGGACAATCCTCATTTGATCTTCCAAGAATTTTGTTAATTTCTGATGGAGAGAAATTCACTTTCAAAGTCAGCTGACCTTCCATCAGCACATTCATTAGACAAGTTAACTATGAACTCCTTGACCAGATTTTCATAACACTTGGTAAATTTTATCACTGTCTTCATCAGTCCAGCATTCTTAATCAGGTCCATGATGTCCTTGCACTCCATGGCATCATTGTTGAGCTCTCTTTCTAAAGCTATTCTCTTCAAGCAAACATACTTCCATCTGTTTGCATTGTCAGGATGGTGAAAAGAGATGTTGTCTGTTGGGACTTCAGGAACTCTAGCAATTTTGCTGGAGGGCAATTTCCTTCTGATAGGAATTTCTTCAGCATCAATCTCAAACTCTGATTCCTCATCAGAATCAGAAGATTCAGGTTCTTTTCTCTTCTTTGTAATTGGTTGTCTACCAGTATACACCTGGGCTTTCACCTTCCCTTTGGACTGACCAGTTTTCACAGATTCTACCCCAGCCTTGCCTTCAGCCTTGGATTTCTTAACAGCAGGTTTATCTTTGGTCATACATTTTGCATCATTCTGATTACCCTTTCTTTTCATCATTCTCCTAGCTATGCTAGGGTTTACATTGGCAATCAGATCATTGTCTGAGTATTCCTCATCCACATCAATGATAGGTGGATCAGCAGTCTTTTCTGAAGGGTTCTGAATGTTGTCATTTTGTGTCACAACATTCTCAGAGACATCTACATTCTCAGAGACATCCAGATTTGGGCTTGCTGATTCTTGATTTAATGGGACAGAAATCCCCGGTACAGATTGGTTTCCACTTAGTATACTTGTCACAAGCCTAGCAATTGCTTGATGAACTTGAACTGATCCTTCCCTATTTGGAACAAAGGAAGAAGGATGAGAAGGATTACCAGAAGCAGGAGCTTGAGCTCTTCCTGCATGCCTAGTTCTCAGCTTCTTGACTTTGGAGGGGTCATTTGCCATTTCTCTGAGAGGAGTGATTTCCAGGACATCAGAATCTATGCATGTGGTGATTGCTCGAGAATCTTGGTCAGATGATGAAGATGAAGTGGTCGCCTTGGTTGAAGATGATGTTTGAGACATTTTGATTGACTTAGAGTACCAGTAGCAATTTGAGAGAAGACTTTGATTGAGAGAGAGGAATAGGTTGCAAAGACGAGAGAGGTAGGAGGCAAAAGAGAGTCTACTCAACTTCTTAATAATTTTGAAGGAGTTGGAAAGACATATGATTAACCTACTAAAAATAGACTCAACACAAATAACTCCTTCAACCCTTGTTTTAAGCAAAATTAATTGCTATAATTTTTCACGTTGGCAAATACCCATCTTGCCCCTCAAGTTTTCAAGTTGATTTCCAACAAGAGCCTTGGTAGAAGAATCAGCTAGCTGAAGCTTGATGATACCATGTTCCAGTTTAATTGTCTTCTTCTCTACAAGGTCAATATGCTTGGTCCTGCTATGCTTAATAGGGTTCTTGGAAATATTGATTGTATTCAGATTGTCACAATATAATGTCACAACATCTTGTGAGACATTATACTCAGTGAGCATCTGTTTTGTCCAGATATTTTGAGAACAGCTACTACCAGCTGCAACTATTTCAGCACAGATTTGGGAAGGCATTCTTTTGTCATGAATCATAGCTCTGGCAGATTCCTGTATGTTCCTATTTTTCTTTTTGTCAACTCCATTTTGATGATGAGTTATAGGAGAGGAGACTTCATGACTCATTTTTTTTGGAAAACATAATTTATTAAACTTGTTGTTTCCAAATTCTTTGTCATGATTACTTCTGGTTCTGACAACACATCCTTCTTCAAGTTTATTCACCACATCATAGACATGTCTCTTTTTACCAAGCCTTTCAATTTGAAGTTCACCACAAACCCTCCTTTTATCAATTTGCAGTCTTGGAATCATTCTGACTGCTTCCATAGAGATAGTTCTTTTCATTCTTCTTAGATGAAGATGGCCAAGCTTATGGTGCCACGGTTTCATCTCTTTTTCTTCTTTGGTAATGGAACACATAGTGGAGTTATTAGTGTTCTCAGGCTGCCACAAGTAACAATTATCTTTAGATCTGATTCCTTTCATTACCACTTCTAGTTTTTCATTAATTACTAGACATTCAGATTTTGAGAAAATGACCTTGAATCCTAGATCACAGAATTGACTGATACTAATGAGATTAGCAGTAAGGCCTTTTACCAATAGAACTTCATTTAGATTTGGAACTTCAGGGCAGTCCAAATTACCAACTCCTTTGATTTCACCTTTAGCACCATCTCCAAAGGTCACATAACTAGTGGTGTGAGGTTTAACATGATTGAGAATGTTCTTTATTCCAGTCATGTGCTTAGAGCACCCACTGTCAAAGTACCAGCCTTCCCTTGCAGAGACTCTCAGGGAAGTGTGGGCTATCAGGGCAGTAGCCTTTTTCTTCCATTGAGGAGTATGTGGTACCATTTTTGACTTAGGTTTAACACCTGAGTTTTGATTAGGGTATCCATGCAATTTGAAGCAGAAAGGCTTTATGTGGCCATACCTCCCACAATGATGACATCTCCATCTTTGGTACTTTTTCTTCATATATCTCTGTTTCTGATGTTGAGAGTTGTGTTGAGACATCTGCTTTGACATTTGTTTAGCTTCCACAAATCCTAGTCCAGATTTGTTTCCCACATTTTGTCCAACTTGAAGAATCTCTTCCAATTTGTCTGTTCCATTAGTCAGCATCTTGACAGATTTGGTCATTTGGTTCAGTTGTGAGTTCAGCAATTGAACTTCCCCTTCTAGATGACTTATAGTTTCAAGATCTGCCCTTTTTTCAGCCTCCAGCTTTATGAAGAGTTTTGATTGTTTCTCATTCTGCACACAGACTTCAGCACTTCTGATACATAAT